TGAGAGGTGATATGCTCGCTAACGAAACAAGGGGTTTTACTATTAACGAGGGATTGGACTAGATGATATTGCGCTAACACTACGTATTGGCTCTTGCGAGGCCTGATACGCTCATAGTAGTCCCAATAATAGGAGCCCTCACGAGACTTCTTGGCATCATGCGAAGGACTCTAAGTGACGGAGATAAGTGATACTAGCTTGGTATTTACTAGCAACCAGAGATAGATATACAAATGCCTCTAGCGGTTTGCCTTAAGAGAGGAGAAGCAACACATATAGTATCATTAGCGGGGCCAGCACTTATCAACGCGGAGCTTATAACCTCCCGACGGGGTGATGAACATCCGGGTACATCACGTGTTCGAGCTTCAGTTTGGCAAGGATCAACTATCCCTCCAACAAAACTTGTGATGAAGACACGGAGATATCGCTCCTTGGTACACCTATACTCGACATCTATCAGCAGGCTGACAAATATTAAGCTCGTACGACGTACAGATCGAAATCTTGGAATTTGCAAGCATTATACCCTATTGGCCGAACATCTCGTATTTCGAATTAGCCGAAGCATTTTACCGGTCAAACCTCCTTCCAACCTCAACTGCTGATCGTTTGCAGCCTCTAGACGCATCTCGTGGTCAGCGGTACAAGTGGTTTCCTTGCTACGATAGCTTTTAATCCCTGAGAAAGCTGCTTTAAACCAGTTAGCCCTCATGGAGCTCCCATCTCCTACACCCTGGAAACCCACCTGCACACTAACCACTACATGCGTCTGAGGGCTGTAGGCAGATCGGTTGTCTAACTATATAAACACGAAAACTGCTGCCTACGCCCACATAACCAGGAAAGTCAATATACCTCCTCTTTCAACTACAAACAATCATTCTCAGACCTCCCCGGCGCAACCGCGTAAGATCAGCCCAGCCATGGACTTCAACTCTCTCAAAAAAGGCACCACAACCAACGAATCCTGCCCCCTCCACTTCTGGTCCACCGGCACCGGCCCCCTCCTCCTCTTCATCCCCGGCGGCGCCGGCTACGCCTCCCAATTCTTCCCGCTCCTCACGCACCTCACGCCGCACTACACCGCCGCGTCCTTCGACCGGCGCCAGCACCACCTCTCCCAACCCTCCGGCCCCTTCAAGCACTTCAACCCCGTGCAGCAATGCCGCGACATCATCGCCATCGCCGCCGCGCTCGGCTTCGCCAAGTTCTCCGTCTTCGGCAACAGCCTCGGCGGCGTGCTGGCGCTGCAGCTAGCCGCCAGCTACCCGGACGTGCTTGACCGCGTCATCGTGCACGAGGCGCCGACCATGGCGCTGCTGCCGCGGGATGAGATGAACGACGAGATCGACTACTGCTTCCAAGTGCAGGGCATCCGGGTGACGGAGGGGGTGGAGGCGGCGATGGCGTTTTTCGCGAAAAAGCTGGTGGGGTATGAGGGGTTGGAGGTGGTGGATCCGATTGTGCAGTCTGGGTTCCGCGTGCAGGATCAGTTGATGTTTCTGGAGTTTGAGTATATCGTGGCTACCATTTATTGTCCGGATATGCTGAAGATTAGGGAGGCTGGGGTGAGGGTGGCGGTGGCGTCGGGGCTGGGGAGTGGGGAGGCGGCGTATGTGAGGACCGGGGTGGAGCAGGCGAGGATTTTGGGGTGTGAAAGGTTTAGGGTGCCGGGGAATCATACGTGGTGGTCTTTTGAGCCGGAGGAGTTTGCGGGGCATGTTTTGAAGATTATGGATAGTTTGAAGGATGGGAAAGGGGAGGTTGAGGGTCAGTGAGCTTTTAAGAAATTTGACAGAGCATTCGCTTTCAGGAGTTTGTTAGAGTTACATTTTTACTTAGGATGAGAAGGCCGCTTGAAATTGACAGCCTAGAAAGGTTTAAGCAAAGACATTAAATGAAGCAGAGACACCTCGCCATGATTGCTTGAACGAGGCCACGAACTTAGGCCCAAAACTGTGGAAGACTAGGGAAACCAGCTCACATTCGCGTCCTTTTGGCGCAGCCCAACTGAAAAGGCCCAACCCAAAGAAATTCATGTCGTCGTGATCCCCCGAAAAGGATGACAAGTAGAGCCTGAAGCATTGCAGAGAGTAAAGAGATAACCAGGAGTGGACGTCTCCTGAAGTGCAACCCGCTGATTGGGCAGAAACCCGGAACCCCGACTCCTGCAGGATCCCGCGTCGTATGTCTCACTTCTTTCCGACGTGGATGATAATCTTCCCCTTCGCACGACCGGTCCTCAGCTTCTCAAAAGCTTTCCGCGCGTCTTCATACTCAAACTTCGAATCGATTACGGCCTTCAACTTCCCATCTCGCATCCACTTGCCCAACTGCAAGAAATCCTCGTAGCTGGGCTTGATACTGAGGAACTCGTACTTGCGAGATCCACCGCCGAAGAAGCGGGGGGTCATGAAGTTGCCCATTATGTTTGCTGTCGCTGAAAGGGACGTGTCTGCGCCGACCTGGACGTACTTGCCCTTCGGTAGCAAGAACGCATTGGACGCCTTGTACAAGCCAGCTGGAGTACCAACGTTATCAATGATAAGTGAGAAGACCTCCCCCTTCTTCTTCAGTTCTTCGATCAGATCAACTGACTTGTAGTCGATCACCTCATCAGCTCCAATGCTCTTGCACAGCTCCGCATTCGCGCCAGAGCACGAGACTGTCACGTGACATCCGAGAATCTTGCCGATCTGGATTGCAAAAGTGCCAACGCCTCCCGATCCGCCGTTGATGAAGATCTTGTCACCCTCCTTTACGTTTCCCTTGATGGATTGGTAGGCGGTTAGGCCAGCGCCGGGAAGCGCAGCCGCATCGTCGACGTCGACTCCAGCCGGGAGAGGAACGCAGCAATCCTTGGGAGCAATGCAGAATTGGCCTAGAGTGCCAAATTTGACAGGGCCTCCGGTGTAGCCGAAGACGAGTTCACCGATCTGGAGAGAGTCAATGGCACGGCCGGTTTCTGCGACACGGCCGCAGAAGTCCATGCCTGGGGATGCCGGTGTGGAGACCATGGCTTTTGCGATAAGGCCGAGTTCTGGGATCTTGTAGTCGGCCGGGTTCAGCGCCATGCTGATGACTTCGACCATGACTTGCTGGTTGGAGAGGGAGGCCGTGAGAGGTTTGTGGTAGACGGCGGGCTGGTACAGGTTCTTCTCGAGGCCTCCGGCGGCGCCATCGTAAACCCAGGCTTTCATGTTTTCAGGCATGTTGGCGGTGTTAGAGATGTGGTGGTTTGTAGGAGCTGGCTTTGGGTGAGGAGTGGTGAGTTTGTGGAGAGTCTCAGGAAAGGAGGTCTCTCAGACAGACTTGTGTCGAGGTGGACAAGCGCAGTTCACGGGGTGGCAATGAATTATCAACTAGCGCACGCCATCGTCACTGCCTTGGCCCCCCTCAGCTGCCCTGATCGCCGCCAGGTTTTGTGAGAGCTCGGATCCGGAGCTATAATATATCCGCAGGCAGTAGAATTGGCCATTTAGGTACTATTCTGGAATACAAGTTCGGCCCCTAACGAGCGTAGTCTGTGATATCAAACCTTCTAAAGTAAGCGTCTGAGCTGCAGCGAATCAAGCGGCGAGGAAGGGCCCCATCTCACCGCCCACGTGCTCAGGCCCTAATCCCGTCTAGCACTAGCGCCAAGGGATCGCTGCCGACGGACCGGATGCCCCACCAGCTCTCTGACGATTACGAAGCTAGGTAGAGTCAACACCAAAAAAGCTATACAGACCCGTCCCTCCTCCCCCCTCAATACCTACGCTAAAAGCTACCTCACAACCCACCATGCCTCCACCATCAGGACCCCGGGACCCCATCGCCGGCCCAGACACCCCCGAACCGCCCTTCCCCCTCAAGCTCAGCGGCGAAGTCATCAAGGGCTTCGGACGGGGCAGCGCAGAGGTACGGCCTCTTTCTCTTCGCTTTCCTTTCTTCCAGGCTAGACTCACTGTTCCACTTTCTTACTATCTTCCCATCAATCACATGCTTCCCGCTCCCTCTCAAGCCCGCACTTCCACAAGCCCCTCACCTCTCGCGCACTTGTTTCAAACCCAGGCAACGTAGGGCCGACACAATATATACACAACTCTCCACCACATCATGCAATGCACTGCATGCACCCGCGTTCCACACCCCTCGTACCCCATCGGGCGCAAAATAACGCACCCCCAATTCCCTCGAACCTTCCCAATCTAAGACAACTCCCCCTCCCATCCTCCTATCCGCCTCCCCCTCTTTTCCCTTCCACGCCTATCGCATCATTCTCCACTCTGTCAGAGTCACACACAACTAACCCCCCACCCTCCCCAGTAGCTCGGCATCCCAACCGCCAACATCCCGATCTCCGGCCTCGACGTCGGCGGCCACTCGGACCTCGCGTCGGGCATCTACTATGGCTGGTCTGCGTTGACCATCGCCACCCCTACGCCCACGACCACCATATACCCCATGGTGATGTCGCTTGGCTATAATCCGTATTACAAGAACACGGTACGCAGTGTGGAGGTGCATATCATGCATGATTTCGAGTCGGACTTCTATGGCGCAAGGCTGTCGCTCGCTATATTAGGCTTCATCCGCCCGGAGTACGACTACGTGAGCAAGGAGAGCTTGATAGATGATATTCGGACCGACATCAAGGTCGCCGAGAAGAGTCTGGAGCGTGAGGCGTATAAAGCCGTGAAGGAGGATGGGTGGTTAGTCCGCGGCGGGAAAGAAGAAGCGGAGAGTTGAGGCTATAGGCGCGAGATGCCTCAGCAACGCACAACACGAGTAGATCACGGAGTCACGGTTCTTAAGACCAGGTAGTGTGGATGATATCTTTAGACCAGCGACCGGCGTATACATACATAGATCAGGAATGGCCTAATCTCAAGAGTACTCATGAAAAACTCGCCCCCTCTTCCCTGCTACCCCGTCTTCCCATTCACCGAACGTTATATGCAACCAAATGAAGGGATCACCATGTCGCCGAAGGCATAGAAAAAAGTAAATAAGATGTCCGGCGCCGAGGATCGAACTCGGGTCTCCGACTTGAAAATCACTTTGTCTACAAGCTACCTTTCGATACGCAGGCACTCTGCTGCGGTTATTATAGCCAACTAAACCACACCGGATTGAGCATTGGCACGACTTATATCTCTATATTAGCCAGTAATTCAGAATTGCTAGGTGCCTATAGGTAACCGCGGGGCTAAGGGGCTAATGGTGAGTGAATATGACATCAAGAAATGTCTGGACGTCAAATGTCGCCTGCGACAACAGGCCGACTACCTCGCGTCTCTAGATGCTTCCCACACTGAGGCACCTTTTTGCCCTCCTATATTACAAATACTTCCCACTCAAACCGCATACAACCATTCTTAATTGTACGCGGTATACTTTGTAGCCGCAACGTCCTGATCTATCTCCATGTAGAGACATTGCTTGTTCCCCGTTTCTTATAAACTTCCTCCATTGAACAACATGAGTTCTTTCTTCTGTTAGATGCGGTATAGACGTAGCGTAGGAATTGTTCGATACGCTGAGGCACCTCCTCGTACCCCTTTTTTTGCAAAATACTTCCCAATTGTACCGCACACATTAACTTTAATTCGATGCAGCTTAAACAAATCACCACTCTTACCTCCCCTACATTACGGCACCTCCTCGTGCCTGTTAGGCACAAGTACTCCTTGATCGAACCGTGGACATCACTCCATATCAGACACAAAACATCGCATCTCACATCTCACATATTCTTCGAATCTCGAGGATCACACACTCCAATTCTCTAACCCACATTACCCAGATACTTCCGCATATCGATAACATACACCCCCTCCCTTCTTCCCAACCCCCTACGCCTCAACACCTCAACACCCCCTACTCCCACAAAAAATAAATATCAACACGAACCCTTAGTACCAAATGACCAAAACAAGTACAACAACCCATACAAATACCCAATATCCCAACTTTTTTTGGACGCGGCAACCGCATCGAGTCATGCAAACATGTCCAATGGAGATGACTACCTCATATGGGGTGCATAGATACCCAACCAACCAACCACCATGATGAAACGGAAAGACTGAAAGACTAGAATCGCGATTCGAGAACAGCAGAGCTACTGCTGCAGCATCGCAAGTGCCGAACGCCGTGTGACGCCGGAGATGAGCAAGGAAAATTGACGGAGAAGGAACAGAGGAGGAGGAGCACGTGCTCGTGTTTCGAGGAGGATATATCTGACTCGGTCCGGAAATGGGTGGGCTGGAAAGGGTGTAGTTGATGCGCGGCTTTCGGGAACTCGGAATATGCGTAGCGGAGGATGTCCAACTGTCCAGAGATCTCCACGGTTTGTCGAAAGAGAAGGCGATATGGTCGAATAGTAGTAACCTCGCCCTCGCCAAAAGTATTTTGCTTGGCGAGCCCGATTGCGATCCTCAAATCCACGGCAGGATCTACCCAAACATTAGCAGCGCCCATCAAAACCCTCAAACCCATCATCCAACTTACATTCATCACAATCAGCATCGGCATATCAAAGTTATCCCGCCGAATATGCCACACACACATACACTTCACCATCCCCTCCTTCTGCCCCAGCTTATACATGCCCGCCTCATTATGAATCGCATTCTCCGTCTTCACCACCGACTCCCCCTTGCCCCCACTCGAATGCCCATTCCCATTCCCATTCCCATTCTTCTCGTCATGCTTCGCCACCTCCTCAAACCGCATCATGTCCTCCTTCGTGCGATACTTTAGGAAATTGACGCAGCGGCTCTTCGACCCCCGCGAGTCTTCAAACGCCATGGTGGCGTAGTCCTCGTAGAACTGCACCACCGAGTCCTCGTCCATGAGCTCGACGATTGAGACGGGGCGTGGCCCGTTGTCTTCGTCGTCCGCGCTTTTGCCGGGGAGGATATAGGGAGAGCGCGTCATGCGACTGGAACTGCCGCTCGCGTTCGGGCTGTTGCCCCAGTTGACGTTGAGATTAGGGTCTTTGCCGAGCAGGACTTCGCGCGGCCAGCCGGTGAGAATGGTGAATTCCTTTCCGAGTGCCACGACCTCGCCTGTCCGACGTAGGACGAGAGTCGGGGTGCCGAGGTGGTCGATGGAGTCCTCGAGGGTTAGCAGTTGCCGTTGGAGGTTCTTCTCGCTGAAGATTAGGTCGTTTTCGTCGAGTTCTTTCGAGCAGGCTACGAAAGAGGGCCGGAAGGTGGCCATGGCTTTTCCGATTCGGGCTTGCTTGTCTTTGGATATGCGCGTGGCTACGTCGCCCATCACCCGGTGGAATGACATGCTGTACGGATACGGCTTCTTGATACCTTCGTAGATGTAGTTGGTATCGCGCCGCCGTTTTCGCGTCATAGCATTAGACTGTATCGGTTGGAGGGCTACGCTTTGCCGAGACTGAGATGGCGATTGAGCGGGATGATGATGTTGTTGTTGCTGGTGTTGTTGGGCTTGCTGTATTTGCTGACGGGTGTAGGCTTGGTGTGATGGCCTTTGGGGAGCGTTCGAGTTTACGAAGAATGTAGCAGGCGACAGAGGTCCGTTGTCGAAGTTCGAACCCAGATCTGCTGCATTAGATGCAGGGCTCGAGGTCGAGAGACTGCTGGGACCTTGTCCAATAGCGTACGCATGCGGAAGTCCAGCAGTGCTATCATGACGCTGAACATTATCCAAATTGGCAGACATTGGCGTATTGTGGGGTGTCTGGATCTGCGCAATGCTGTTATGCCTTGAATGTGAGTTCTGCCAGTCGGAACTCGGAAGACCATCCGTTTGATAGGGCAGAGCGCCAGGGGCCATTACCGAGACCGCTGCATTCTCCGTGTACCCGCCCGACACCTGAGGTCCATACATGTTGGCCGCTTGATTCAGTGGGTTCATCAGATTGTTGTCGCTTGGTGGTGTATCAGCAGCTCCTGATGACATGTGACCGAGCATTCCAAACTCCAGAGCGCCATAGTGATTTCCGAAATTCAAGCTCGCAATGTCGAAGTTGAACAACGCAGGGTCACTGGGATCAAACAATGGCCCGCCGAAATTGTGCATTTGTGATACGTTGCCCTGAGACACTTGGGAGCTCGGTATCGTCTGAATAGGAGGACTTTGCTGCGGATTCTGGCCGTAGGTGGGGGATATGGGCGTGGGCTGACCATTGAAAGAGCCGATAGGGGGGCCTTCGGGCATGTGCTGGGGAAGTTGGCCGTGCGGAGGCGGCTGCTGGTACATGTTGAAGTTTCCGGGCTGAGGCTGGGCAAAGAAGGTGCCTTGTTGAGCAGAGACCGGCGTGTTAGGCAGAGATACTTGTCCAGCGGTGGATGTTTGGTTACCATTGATGTGAGGGTAGTGCCCGCCCACGCCCGGCATGAGAGCCTCGTTGGGCGTATCGTGCAGATATTTGGCCTTCTTGCGCACGCCGTCCTGACAGCCGTCTTGCAGGCCGCGCTTGACACACCTGTTGCAGGGCCGTTCGTCGCCTGTGCACGCGTCAGTCACGGGTCTGGTCAGACATCAGGGCGTGATAGCGTGGAGAAATCCCCCGATATCAAAATCAACACTTCAGAGGAACGGACTTACCACAAGTCAGATGGGCGCGCTGACAAGCAAAGCAGGCGCGCCGTGCCTTCTTCCGCCGTGGGCGCAGCGGGTCCTTTGCATTGGCCTTGGACATGATGGACGGGGTGTGGTTGGGCGAGGCTTCGCTGGAGGCGCGGAGGTCGTTCTGGTCAGCCATGTCTGCGCCGTCCTGGTCGCCGCTGTACTCGGGCGAGGGCGAGGCATCGTCGGCGTCTGGGGTAGTCATAATATCTGGCACTTGGGACACAGGCTCCGCACCGCTCACGGGCACGGATGCAGCTGCGTGTCCTGGACGGTACGGCTGGTGTCTTCGCACGTTTATTCTGCGCACTGCCGGCGCGGGTCCCGGGACAGTGGATTGCTGCTACTGCGCTGCGCTGCACGGCGCTTCTCCTGCACGGCGCGCAGGGGCGTGTTTCTTTGGGCCCAGTTGGGGGTTTCGAGAGAGCGATCACGCGTGGGCTGCGGGCTGCTGTGGCACCGCTGCGAGGCCAATGGCACGCGCGGGTCAGGTCTGGCTGCTGCCCAAGGCCAGTGGCGGCGGCGACGCTGGTCAATCCGGCACGCAGGAATGGGACGATGCTGCCGTGGCACGCGCCGGGGGTCCATGCAATCGCGGAGTGAGCAGTCCAGAGCGCGCGCTCATGGCGACGCGGAGCGGGCAGCGGTAGAGTCGAGCATCGGGGGAGAGGAGCGGGAGAGGCGGTGCGGTGGGGACGCTGTAACGGGAGCCTCGAGACTCGGCGCGCGACGAGGGCGAGGGATTGGAATCGAGGGACTGGCTGGCAGGGAGCAGCTCGCGCGCTGGAGAAAGCCGATGCAGTTCTGCTGCCGTGGGACGGGATACGGCGTGCGGTCGAGGTTGAGGGCTGGGAGCGTCGTCTGGGGGCCGCAAATTGCGCGGGCTGCCGCGTGCCGGGGCGCGCAGTGGTGGCGAGGGGGAGGCAATGGGAAGGGCCGTATGCGCTCTCGTGGTGGGAATTGACGCCGTAGAGATGTTCCCCGCTGTATGGGCGCCGTGGTGTCGTGTGGGTTGTTCGAAGTCGTTGAGCGCAAATCTCACGGAGCAGCTTCCCTCTTTGCCGAGCCAGGCCGAGCGGACGATCTGGAGCTCTGCCCAGCTATTGCCCCGCCGCGACCTATCAGCCTTCCGCCATAGCACGCTAAACACTTCACTCCTCTGCTCCACCCCTCCCGTCCCCAGCACTTGCAGCGATTGTCCGCGAAAAAGCAACCCCAGGTGCAGAGACAGATGCTCGGATATACACTAACGAGCCTGGCCCTGAGGCATGATGTACTGCGGCCCTGATGCACTAATTGCCTGATGCACTAACTAATTGTCCGGAGCACTTACTGACGGCACTCATGGCACTAACAACAAGACAGAGCTATTCGGCCATACCGCACAGTATTGTACATTCCAATTGTCCATGCCATTCAATTGTCCACGTCTGACGTCTCTCTCTATTCTCATCCCCTCCCTCAGTCACACCCATACCATCCCGTACCACTCCACCCCATCCAGACTCCCCACCCCCGCCAC